TTACAGTGTGAGATCTGAGTATGTCCGCGCTCATGCACCCCAGCCCCCCCCACCTCTGCCCGCCACTTTTCCTCCAGCCTCACTCCGTACCCCACATCTCAGAGAAGGCAGACTTGGACCCAGAGTAGGAAAGGAAGGAGGTGTCTGCTCTTCCCATCTCCATGATAGGGAAACTGAGGCTGAGAAAAGTCTCCCAGCCCAGCACACTGTTCAGGAAACCCAGCTGCCATTCAAGGGCAGCTTCTATCTAGCTCCTGAGTTTCAAGAGCGTCCTCCACAGAGTCTCTTTCGCTGGGGAGGGAGCCTTGGAATTCTTCCCACTGGCGTCCATTGCCGTGGATGTGACATTCGTTAATGTATCCCTTACAATGCAACTTCCTTTGATGTTGCCTCTTTTGATTCCCCTTGTATTTTTATGTCAAAGAGATGAAACCACTTTGTTGGACTTTTTCGCCAAGAGCTTTCATCATGTCTCAGCAGAGCTTCCCACTCAGGGACACAGGAAGGACTGAAGATGAAGAGCAGGGAGGGGCTTGATGAGGTTTAATAGGATTTGCTCAAATGGGTGCCCCTCCCTGGTCCTGTGTGCGAAGCATGGGTGGGGTACCCAGGCAGGCCAGTCACAGCCTTTCTCCCTGCTCCTCCCTCCACAGGCAGTGCCCACAGACCCCTGGGTTCAAAGGGGTGAGGCTAGAATATCAACTACACAGTCCTGCATCTGTGTTCATCTTAGTCAGTGCTTTATCTCCAGCTCTTAGCACAGGAGATAGACTGTGGTGGTTACTCAGCTAATGATGGCTGAACAGATGCATAAATTAATAGAATGGCTCTTGAAAATCTCATAATACAATGTGATATGGCAGTTATCCTATCTAATAAAAGAAAAACATGCAAATTGACTGTACCTCCACTATACCAACAAGCCACGCCCACCAGCCAATCAGGAGCAAATATGCAAATTAACTCAACCAATGTGTTAATAATTTGCATATTCAGGTGCAGAGAGAAGACTGAAGGAAGCCAAGCACTGTAGAAGGGAGCGAAGCTGCAGAGAAGCAAGCAGTGTGGTGGAGACTGGAGGGAAGCAGGTGGGGCTGTGGAGAAAGGAGGGAAGCAGGCAGGGCTGTGGACATTTCCGCAGGAAGCCCTATTGCAGGAATCTTCCTGGTAAGGGCCTCTAGTCTATATAATAAAAGCCTAAGCAATCATTACAGCAGAATGACCAGTGGCTATGAGGCACACTAACCACCAGGGATAGACACTCAATGCAGGAGCTGCCCCCTGGTGGTCAGTGCACTCCCACAGGGGGAGCACTGTTCAGTCAGAAGCTGGGCTCATGGCTGGTGAGCACAGCAGTGGTGGTGGAAGCCTCTCCCACTTCTGAAGCAACACTAAGGAGCAGCAAGCCAAGCATTAAGGAGCACCAAGCAGGTGAGCGGTAAGAAACAAGGAGTCTCAGGCTGTGAGAGGGCACAGGCTGAGGGAATCCCCCACCCCAACCCAGTGCACGAGTTTTGTGCACTGGGCCTCTAGTATCTCAATAAAGAAGAATCTCACTGCCCCTGAATATTCTTTTGACTTGATGGGCCACAGCCCTGGAGGCTAAGGTTTCTAAAATGCATATTTCACTTGCTCTTTCCTTGATAAAATCTGGGTAGTAGAGGCTCCAAGCCTTTCAGCTCCAAGCTTGCCCTGCAAATTGGGGTAGGGGCTGGGGTGCTTTCCATTCTCAGATGCTTAGGCCTCTTTCTTCCTGTTTAAAATGAGTTAATGGAATATTGTATTACATTTCAACTCAAGGAGAGTTGATGCGTATACATCTACATTTATACTTACATGTAGGTTCCTATTCAGACATTCTTTCCCTGGATCCCATAATGGCCCTGGGGACTGGACGGGCAGGGAATAGTATTTGCATTTTATAGCAGTACACGGAGGCCAGGGCAGGTAGAGACTCTGTCTTTGGATCCCAGAGCAAGTCTGGGATCATCAGGAAATGAGATCATGGACCACAGCTTCTGGATGTTTCTTTCAAGTGCAGCTGAGCAAGACCCGGGTCTCACCTGGGCTGAGTGAGGAGCCGCTTCTGCAGATAAACCCAGGCCCTGGGAGCACGCACCCTGGGACCGGACTGGAGGGAGCCCCCTTCCCCATCTGCTGGCCACCAGCGGCTTCCCATTTGGGCCGAGTGTCCTAGAAAACCTTTCTCTGCTTCCAGGACGGCATGAGGCCTCCTCCTCCAAGAATACATGAACATGTGTTTAAAAATAAAGAGGAAACAGTGCAGAAAATCGGCAGAAGGCTGTTTTCCCCAAAGAGCTGAGGGCAGGAGAGCAGAGCGCACTTTCACAGGTGCCCTGGCCAAGGACTCCTCTTGTGGGCCCTGTGCCTGCCTAGCTTCAGGGGTTTGGGGAGCCCCAGCAGCATTCCCATCTGGGTCCAACAGCTAAGATCCCAGGGGTATCTTAGCAGGGCCTTGGGGTTATTCCTGGCATGTCTCACTGCTTCTGGGCATCTCCCATGGAGTTTTCCATAAAAGTCTCCTGCCGCTGAAACCGGTTTGGCTCAGTTGGCCTGAAGACTCAAGGGTCCCAGGTTCGATTCTGGTCAAGGGCATGTACCTTGGTTGCGGGCACATTCCCAGTAGGGGGTGTGCAAGAGGCAGCTGATCGATGATTCTCTCTTATCGATGTTTCTATCTATCTATTCCTCTCTCTTCCTCTCTGTAAAAAAATCAATTTTATATATATATATATATATATATATATATATATATATATATATATATTTTTTTTTTTTTTTTTTTTTTTTTTTTTTAAGTCTCCTGCCTGGGACATAGCAAACTCATTCTGGGATCCTGCAAACAGCACGGAGCGCATCCCTGATTTGCCTTTGTGACTGTCGAGTCAGGAGCAGGAGCAGGTGGCCCAGTGCAGATGGGAAATGGGCAGTGGATGTCCCATACAAGCAGCCTTCCTGTCCCCCTCAGTGAGATAGCTGGAAGCTGCTGCCATCACCCATCAGTGGAGGAAAGGGTCTGCCAACATCACAGACTTTCCGTGGAGGCCAAAAGCTTCCTCGTGTGGCCCTTAAGGCAGCTGGCTCCATGGTTAGGGGACATCCATCCAGGTTGTCCTGTCGGGGATGCAGTTTCTAGGGAAGGCGAGACCCCAGGATATCAAGAAAAGCTTGTTTATGAAGAGGTAAAAGGACTGACTTATAGCAGTCCTGGAGGTGGGTTCTCCCAGGATCAGAAGGTCATAGAACTTTCTGGAGGGAGCAGTTCATTAGTCTATGCACAAGTCATAGAACATCCACTCTGGGGGCCATGTACGGTGGGTGGTGGGGGGTGGGAAACTGAGATCCAAACCTCACTCAGCCGCTCTCTGCCTGAACTTCACTTTCTCATCGGATGTTAGAGAAAGAATGACAACACTGGTCTGACAGCGTTGTTGTGAGGATCAGAGATAATCTAGGTGTGAGCAGAACATCAGGAAATCTGACGGAGTACCACAGCTTCTGAGTGTTTCTTTCAAGAGCAGCTCACGCTCCAAAACGTTTTTACAGCCTTTTAAAAACTTTATGTTTGAGATATTATATAACTGACAGAACATTGCATTCGTTTTAGCTGTACAATATAATGATTTGATATATGTATGCAATGCAAAATCATCACCACAGGAAGTCTAGATAATGTCCTTAGCACTTCAGCAGACAGTCACAATATTTTCTTTTATGTGAGAGCATTTAAGAGCTACTCTCAGCAACTTTCAAGTATACGATGCACTATTGTTACCTATAGTCACCACGCTGGACATTGCACCCTCGGGACCTGCCTTATAACTGAAGTCTGTGCCCTTTGAACCCTTCACCCACTTCTTTAAAAAAATTTATATATGTGCGTGTACACACACATTCATACACACCCATACATTGGTTTTGAGAGGGGGGGGAGAGGGAGAGGGATAGAGAGAAACATCAATGAGAGAGAGTAAGTCATTGATTAGCTGCCTCCTGCATGGCCCCCACTGGGGATTGAGCCAGCAACCCAGGTATGTGCCCTGACCAGACATCTGCTCTGACCAGGAATCAATCCATTAGTTTCTGGTTGACACTCAATCACTGAGCCAAATCAGCTGCCAGCCAGATGAACCCTTCACCCATTTCTCTCCCTCCTCCTCCCTCCTGCCTCGGGCAACCACCAAGCTTACATTCTAATGGAGGGAAAGAGACTATTGTAAGTAAACATGATGCATAAGCAAACAAGGCAGTATTTATGACAGAGAGTACGAGATCCTATTCTGATGGGTTGTTGTGGATATAAGTAACAGCCCATGTATAATATGTAGGCTATGCAAAGAATTTAATAAGTTGTTGCAACTGTAATTTTTAAATAGCTCCCAAATTTCTTTAACTCCTTTAACCATCATGTCTAGTTTGCAACTTCTCATTGATTCCTTCAACAAACACCTATTGACCCACTATTATACCTCATTGATTCCTTCAACAAACACCTAATGACTCTCTATTATACCTTGACCCTATAATAGTCACCAGGAATACAAGTCAATCATTAAGAAAACATGTTCCCACCCTAACTGGTTTGGCTCAGTGGATAGAGCGTCGGTCTGCGATTGAAGGGTCCAGGTTCAATTCCAGTCAAGGGCATGTACCTTGGTTGCAGGAACATCCCCAGTGGGGAGTGTGCAGGAGGAAGCTGATTGATGTTTCTCTCTCATTGATGTTTCTAACTATCTCTCTCCCTTCCTCTCTGTAAAAAAATCAATTATATATATATATATATATATATATATATATATATATATATATATAGAAACATGTTCCCGACCCTTGAGAATCCCACAGTCTGGTCGACTGTACATAGTGGAGTCGCCTTAGTGAGCTCAGAGGTGGGAGTGACCTTGAAGTCCTATGTCTCTAAGAATCAGAATAGTCCACTTCCTGATGATGTCTTTATTCTTAACGCAGGTGTCCCAGCGATGGCTGGGGACTCGAGGAATGCTATGAACCAGAATATGGAGATCGGAGTCACTGCCAGAGACCCCAGGAAGATCCCCAAGCAGGCTCGCGATTACGTGCCCATCGCCACCGACCACACCCGCCTGCTGGCCGAGGGCAAGAAGCCCCGCCAGCGCTACATGGAGAAGAGTGGCAAGTGCAATGTGCACCACGGCAACGTCCAGGAGACGTACCGGTACCTGAGCGACCTCTTCACCACGCTGGTGGACCTCAAGTGGCGCTTCAACCTGCTGGTCTTTACCATGGTCTACACCATCACCTGGCTCTTCTTCGGCTTCCTGTGGTGGCTCATCGCCTACATCCGGGGCGACCTGGACCACCTCGGGGACAGGGAGTGGGTTCCCTGCGTGGAAAACCTCAGTGGCTTCGTGTCTGCCTTCCTGTTCTCCATCGAGACGGAGACCACCATCGGGTATGGCTTCCGGGTGATCACGGAGAAGTGTCCCGAGGGGATCATCCTCCTCATGGTGCAGGCCATCCTGGGCTCCATCGTCAACGCCTTCATGGTGGGCTGCATGTTCGTCAAGATCAGCCAGCCCAAGAAGAGGGCCGAGACGCTCATGTTCTCCAACCACGCGGTCATCTCCATGCGGGACGAGAAGCTCTGCCTCATGTTCCGCGTCGGGGACCTCAGGAACTCCCACATCGTGGAGGCCTCCATCCGGGCCAAGCTCATCAAGTCCCGGCAGACCAAAGAGGGCGAGTTCATCCCCCTGAACCAGACCGACATCAATGTGGGCTTCGACACCGGGGACGATCGGCTCTTCCTGGTGTCGCCGCTCATCATCTCCCACGAGATCAACGAGAAGAGCCCTTTCTGGGAGATGTCTCGGGCCCAGCTGGGCCAAGAGGAGTTTGAAATCGTGGTCATTCTGGAAGGGATGGTGGAGGCCACAGGTAAGACACTTCATCCCACGCCCAGGAGCTTAGGCCACTGGCATTGCAGAGTGGGACTTGATTCTCGACCTCCTCCTGCCTGAGAATCCAGAACTGGCAGAGTCTGCCAACCTAAACTGTGACCTTGTGGCTCAAGGTCAAGCAATAATAACAGCTGGTGTTCATCGAACCCTCCCACCTTCCAGGCCCAGCTCTAAACTTTGCAACACATAAGATCTCATTTAATGCCCTCCCACAGCCCTAAGAGACAGTGTTTCTTAGGTCCCAGATTAGGAAACAGAGGCACAGGCAGGCGAGTTATGATTTCTCCAAGGGAGGAGCTACTGAGTTGTAGGGTCAAGATTCACACCAAGGCAGGGACCCCAAAGTTGTCACTAGTTTCCAATAGGCTAACCCACCTGCTTCCTCCCAGCCTGGCCCCGGTGCCAACCCGAGAAGAGCTGTGTGATCAAATGACTTCGGGGAACACGGGGTTAAACAAAGGGGACCTGGTTCCTAACAATGGGGCTTGAAGTCGGCTTTCCATTCTGTGAGGTGCTTGGTGAAGAGGAAAGGGAGCTGCATTTCCCAGACTCAGGGATTTCCCCAAGTCTCAGAATCTTTTCTTTTTTCTTTAATATATTTTTATTGGTTTCAGAGAGGAAGGAAGAGGGAGGAAGAGATAGAAACATCCATGATGAGAGAGAATCATTGATCAGCTGCCTCCTGCACTGGGGATCCAGCCCACAACCTGGGCATGTGCCCTGACCGGGAATTGAACTGTGACCTCCTGGTTCATAGGTCAACACTCAATCACCGAGCTATGCAGGCCTGGCTCAGAGTCCTCTTTTTGAGGTCCTATGGGAAGGGGGCTCTTCTGGCTCCTCCCCCTGTCTCCATTAGCCTTCCCCCAGCTTCTGGCTCAATGAACACTGGGTGTGCAGAGAACTCTCCACATACGTGTAAGCCCAAGCCGTGCTCTCTCCACAGCCAGCCTGGCACCTCCCATCAAGGAGCCAGCTGTGTGTGCGTGTGTGTGTGTGTGTGTGTGTGTGTGTGTGTGTGTGTGAGGGGGGAGAGGAGGGTAGGGGAGGGAAAGAAAGGGAGAGGCATTTTCTGCCCAGGTGTGTCTATTCAAAACAATCCCCACATGTCCTAAATGCCTGTCTGCTTCTCTGTGTGCACTCACTCTGAATATCTTTCCCTGCCTCTGTTCTGTTCAGTCTTCTAGATCTCAGTGCTGTTTTCAGGAATCATGTCCATAGCTCCGGCTTTTCCAGAATTATCCACTCCAGTCTCCAGGAGCCCATGCCAGAATCTTCCATTTAATTTGTTACTTTCTGTCTAATAAATTGAGCTCCTTCAGGGCAAGGACTGTTTCTTATTTAGCTTAGCACAAAGAAGATGTTCAGCAAATGCTTGATGAATGATCAAGTGATGGGTAGATGGATGGGTGGATAGATGAATGATGGGTGAATGAGTGAATAGACGGATGGATAATTAGATGGTTGGATGGATGGATGGAGGCATCTGTTGGAGAAGGAGTGGGTGAATAAAAGGATAGATGGATGATAACTGCATAGTTGGATGCATGCATGCCTGTGGGCAGTCCTAACGCATGTACCCTCTATTCTGCAGGCATGACTTGCCAAGCGCGGAGCTCCTACATGGACACAGAGGTGCTCTGGGGCCACCGGTTCACGCCAGTCCTCACCTTGGAAAAGGGCTTCTACGAGGTGGACTACAACACTTTCCACGACACCTATGAGACCAACACGCCCAGCTGCTGCGCCAAGGAACTGGCGGAAATGAAGCAGGGAGGCCGGCTCTTCCCGTGCCTCCCCCCCAGCACCCCACTGCCAGGAGGCTGTGCTCAAGCAGAGCTGGATGCTGAGGCTGAGCAGGATGGAGAGGACCAGCTGGAGGGGCTAAATGGTTCCCGGGAGACCAGGGGCTTGGTGTAAGGGCTGCACTCTCCCTGCAGCCTCCCTCCCTGGCTTCCATGAGCTCAGATGCTGCAGCACCAGGGCTGGGGTGAACTCACTGAGTGCCATGTTTGGGGGACTCTGTGGGGAGAAGTAGTATATCCAGCCTCAGAACCTCCCAGCTCAGGGCCTCTCCAAATAGGTGGCCTCCCCGGATCCCCAAGGCAACGCTGCCTCTTCTCTCCCAGCCTCTGTGGGCGCTGGCTGAGGGCCAGGCCAGGATGGGATTCCCACAATGAAAGTGGCTTCTGCCCCCATGCACCTCTATCAGCTAGCTTGGAGTCACCTCTCTCCTCAGGTCTCACAGACCAATGGGCATCCTCCCTCTAGGATGGACAGGTAGGGAGGGCAGTCACCCCCAGCCCCTCATTCCTAATATCCCAGGCTCATCATGGATTCAAAGAGGAGAGATTCTGCCTTCTTAGATGCTCAAACACCCATCCTAGATGGAGGTCACAGGCCTCATGCGTCAGGGTGGGTCCAAGTCACGCAGGGATGGCCTTTCCGATCTGAGACCCACAACCACTATGGGGCGCTGCAGAGAACAGGGCCTTGATGGTGTCTCCTGATCCGTGAACGGTGTGTGTTTCCTCTGCTGAGCTCTGCGTGTCCAAGGCCGCCTGCTGGACCCTTCATCTTTGTAGTGTGACTCACAGAGGGTGGCCTGGGCCACAGAGCTCTTCTGAGCACCTGGACGGTGTCTCGGCCCCCTCGTGGTCACCTCCAATCACACTGTGGCCTGCGCATACACCCCACTCCCATCAAAGGGAGAACCCAGATGGCCAAGAATCTCAAAGTACTTCTACCCTTCACCATGGTTTTCTTCCACTTCTCACAGAGTCTGCGCACTCCTGGGAGAAAGGAAGACGGGGTCCAACCAGGGAAGGGAGAGGGAAGGACAGCAGAGAGAAAGGCAAGCAAGTAGCATTGCTAAGTAAAAGCATCAGCACTCATCATCTATCATTGACTGAGGTGTCTGACTTCAGGGCTCAGCACATCTTTGTTAGGGGGCGGGAGGCAAAACCGAGAGGTGACTGCAGAGGTAGCTGCACCGACAAGCCCAGGAGGGACCCACTCTCAGCTGGTGGTGCCAAGAAACCCCAGGCCTGCCCTCCAGTGGGCAGGGGTTGAAGAAGGCAGCAGGACTGGGGGAGTAGGGATGGTGCCCAGGGAAGAGGGAGGGGAGGGCTGCCTCCTCCCATCTTGTAAACATGGGGTGAGAGGCATCAGTGGATGAACATTAGAGAGAAAAGAGCAGGGAGAAGCATTGAAACTCACAGCTGTACAGGGTTTCTCTTCTCCCATAGAGATGGCTCAGAAACAGGACACGCGGATGGATGGACAGATCGACAGTGCAGATGGTCATGTCAATGGTGGAGCGAGTCCATATGTGTTGAGGCAAACAGAATTCTGATTAGCTGACCTAGACCTGGAGCGAGATTTCAAAGGGCCCCCAGCCTTAGAGTTATGAAGGCCACATGGTCTCCACAGTGCTCTACTGGCCTTTGGAAATAGAAGCATAATCCAGCCCTAAACGTGAAGCGCCTTCCCCAGGAGACACAGCGAAGCTGCCTGAGGCAGAAGGTTGAGGCCCAGAAAAGAGAACTGCGTTTGGTCCTGAGGCAGGTGAGGGCGAGGCAGGCAGCCCAGGATGGGGACTGGTGCTCTTGGCTGCCACCCTCAGGGCAGCGGGGCCCTGTGCTTGGGCACACAGAGAGGGTCTTCTCCAGGGGCATGGCACTGAGCCAGGGTTCCAGGCACCCTTTTTGGTGAAGCAGGTGTTGGGATGGGCTGGAAACTGCCCGTGATCTGTGACAACTGGGCACCTTTTTGCACATGACTTAACCCATGCCCTGCCTCCCAGCAGGCCTTGCGTCTCTTGGAAATCGGGAGCCATAGACACTTGGTTCTTTTTGTACTGACTTTGCCCCAAACAAAAACAGCTGGCCTGCAGTCTTTTAGGAGCATGCCTCTTTTAGCAACACCTCTGCCCAGGCACCATTCCCAAGGGCTGCTATGTGCCCAGCGGTGGGTGGGGCACTTCACCTGGGTGGTTGCCCTTACATCTCAAGACATGGCAGAGAAGCCCTTAGAAACCTTTGTCACCGATGAGGCAGCTGAGGTTCAGAGGAGTTAATTAGTTTGCTCAAGGCCACACAGATAATGACAGGTGCCACGCGCCTTCCAAACAAACACAGATGGGCATCCTCCTGCACAGCACCCAGGTCTGGGGCATCTGGTGGAGCTCGGGCAGGAGGAATCAGATGCCCCGCCTCCCCAGATGGTGGGTTTGTGTGCTGTGCTGTGTGAAAGAGCAGCAGCCTCCATCCACCAGCGGGACCTCCTTGCAGGAGAACTGGGACATGGCTTCCTCTGATTCCTAGAGAATCAATGAGCTGTGGGGAGACATTAGATTAAGGTGACCAGACGTCCCGATTTTTAACAATTTGTTCCGTGTCCCGCGGCGTTTTAAAAAAGTTTTTTTAAAAAACAGTTTTAAAGTTTCTTTTTTTAAAAAAAGTTATTAAAAAGTCCTGATTTTTGAAAAAAATCTTTCCAAAAATCAGGACTTTTTTAATACGCCGTGGGACACGGGATGCGGGACAAATTGTTAAAAATCCGGACTGTCCCACCAACAGCGGAATGTCTGGTCACTTTACATTAGATGGGGACATACTTCTCCAGGAAGAAGCCAATTAAGCTCTGCTCAAGTGTTTTGCTCTGTGTAGGATTTGTGAGTCTTCTTACTAAAAGGAACACCACCGCGCTGCTGAGAATTCATCCAATAAAGTGGATTAGTGTTTGGACAGGTCCAAGCCTTGGACTGAGGAGAGGGCACAGTCCTCTCGTGGCCACGTGCAAATCCCAGACTGGAGGGCAGAGCCCCCCCCCCCCCCCCAGCACAATGATAGCCAACAGCTGTAGTTGTAAGCTGGAACCTATGGTCCAAACACGTGGCTCCTTGTGCCTAAGGCTGCAAGTAAACAAAGCTTGATCACGTGCACGCAATTGAGTGGGACTGAAACCCACCAGAATGTTATAAACAGCTTGAACAAGCCCTTTGCCTCGTGGCATCAGCTATAAAATAAAGACACAGCTTGTAGTCTGTGGCACTGTCGCTAACTCTCCATCAGAGAGGACAGCGCCTCACTCAGACCCGGCGTTCATTCTCTTGTCTGTCTTTTCTCAATCCTTCACCGTCCCCACTCAGGGTCACTGAACCTGGCTGAGCTGGTGCGGCACATAAGGCGCTCTGGCACTGAGTATGCCATGGCCGTGCTGGCCCGTCAAACCGGGCCTCTAGTTTGTAATAAAAAGCAAGAACCTGAACATTCCTCTCACAAACCCACCCTGGCCCAGGAGGTCCAGGCTTAGCCCATGCCGGTCAGAGGACTGGCCTCGACACTCCCTGGGTGTCTCTGAGCACCCTGTGAGATGCCGGCCCGGAAAGCGTGTTCACTCCTTTACGGCAAATCCATGTCTAGGAGGGAGTTTCAGAGACAGAAATCCTGTTGAGGTTTTCCAAGGGGACTACTTACCTTTCCTCAGGGCTGCTGGGAAAACGACCTGAGCCCCCGTAGTGAGGACACAAAGCCCAAACTACAGAGGAGGGCTCGGTGAGAGTGGACACATCGGCCTACGCGCTGAGCCTCCCTCCTGCGTGGACAAGTTGCGGGCTGAGGGGGTGAGGTTGCTGAAAGTAAGAAAGTAGTGACAGGCACATGCAGTTAGGATCCCTTGATGGGCAGGCGCCTACTGTCACTGTCACAGTCCACAGTCCACAGGCTACGTTGCCTCTTAGACAAACGCGCTGGCCATGTGATGAGAACCTCACAGCTTTCACAGCCGGAGCCTTGTTCTCCGTGAACCTGAGGAAGCGATCAGGGGGTCATTCGGGAATTCGCCAGCTTCCGTCCCCTCGCTGAGGGACAGCCCAGCTGGGTCCGCTCCGCAGAGCAGATGGGCAAGAGAGAAGGGCTTGCTGAATCCAGACTGCATCCTGGGGGTGGGAACGTGGCTGCCTGCTGCCCTGTGCTTCCCACCCAGGAACCGTGTGGGTGTGGCCCTCACCCTCCGTCCTCTTCCCAGTGAGCACCAGGCTGGGATTGTGCCCAGGGGACATGCCCCATGTCCCCAGGCCGGTCATGTGAAAAGAGAGACTCCTGCAAAGAAGTCGCTCTTGTTTCCCAGAATCCCAGCGGGACCACAGTAGCAGGAGGTCCTGGCCATCGGTCCCACCGCTGTCCATCTGTCATTCCCTCCAGGCCCGGAGGGGTCCTGACAGCAGCTCACTGTGCCGGAAAGCCTGGACCGACTCTGCACAGTGGCCAAAGCATCTGGGACTCTTCCAGAGCCTCAGTTTCCCTACACACTCTTTCACTGGACCACCGCTGAGTGAGCGCCTCCTATGGACAGGAAGCAGGAATGGGCACCAGGGACTCAGCCACCATCAAGACAGATATCCCCTCCCCAGTGGGAGTTACGGTCCGCTGAGGGAGGTAGAAAAGCACATAGACAGTGAGAGGGTGAGAGTTTGCAGTAGGGACATGAAGGACACAAGGGGGGCATGGAGGTCAAGGGCAGCAAGAGCACTGAGGAGGGACCCAGGGACTGTCCCTCCAAGGAGGGGCATCGAGCTGAGGTGTGAACTATGAGCAGGAAAGGACTGATCAGGCAAAGTGATCGATCCTGTGCAGGGGAACGGCCTGTTAGAAATGCTTTGAGCTGGAAGAAAAGGATGGAGAGGCCGCAGTGCTGGGATTTGGGAGGGGGAAGGGGAAAGGTAGGGGATTCAGGCCTGATCTGCCTGGGAGATACTGTGAGTGTGGACTTAGTTCCCAGTACACTGGGAAGCAGTGGGAAGGATTTTATGGGAGCCCGGACCTTTGCCCTTCTACGGCGGCAGGGTGTGAGCTCAGGTGCATGGCCCTTTCGGTCCCCAGGGGCCCCAGGCTATCACTGGGCCTCTGTCTGAACCA